AAATGTTATTGGCTTTGTTTGCTGTAACAGGATTGCATAGGACTCTGTTGCTGGGCTCGGAGGATGCTCAGCAGTCCACCATCTGTGCTCAGACAGTCACAGCTTGAGATGTGAATTTTAATTCTCCTCAAGTTTTCATACTTTTCTAGTATCTGGTATACTGGTTCAATGTTTTGGTCAATTCACCTTACCTGGATGTGTGGATATCAGCAATATTTTTCCTCTCTGACCCACAGAGTGCAAGCTTAAGCTTTTCTATTGCAGAGTAATACTTTGCCTCGTATATATCAGTAGTTCCCTAATTGTTACTTACCTTTAACGTTTGTTCCACAGAATTGCCTTGCAGGCATTGTTCACTTTGTGTATAACCACAAAGTGTTTCGTGGTAAATATAACTACAGCAGACTCTCAGGCTAAAGCGTTTTCCTCATGTTTTGCTTTAATATATTCCCTGAAAGCAGGATCTTCCTACACCATGTTTGGAACCTAAAGTCAGTTGAACATGGAACAGAGGAAAAATAAATTCCAACCCACTTATTGAATAGTTCTTTAATTTGTTGTCTCTGCTTTATTTTTTTCAACATTTACCGTTGTAAATATTCCAGAACTGAAAATCGATAGCGGGTCCTGATAATAGAAGTCAGAAATAAATGCTAATTTTAGCACACATTAAATAAAAGAAGTAGAGCGCAACAGGTTTGTTTTTACTGCGGATGGACCGATCATGATTTTTGGTTTTCTTCGGTTTTCAAATTTATTTTATAGCACTAAAACACATGTTAACCAATTTCTGTACACTTTGTTTTGATACAATATTAAAATATAATAAGCATTCATCATAAAATAAATTATGTGTTGTAGGTCCTTTGAAAGTGGTAGTGGTTTTAAAGCAAGCAGAAAATTAGAGAGTTGTATTATTGCCATTTATGAATCTTAATCTGTCCCTAAATTCCCAAAATTACAAAATTATTCCGTCTGTCCGTCCGTCGGTTCATTTATTACCGCTTGTCCATTCAGTCTCCATCAATCATTGGGTGTCATCACATTAAAGAATAGTACTTCAAACAAAAAGTTTTTAGTTTGGTGCATTTTTGAAGAAATTAATACATTCCAGGATTTCCATCATTTATCATTAGTCTAAATTTTCAGATTTTGCTGATGACGGTATAATTCTGTTGCATTGAGTTTTTAAGCTTAAATCCTCTACTTGAAATTTGATTCTCTCCCAGAGTGCATTGCTTCAAAACCACTTCCTCTAATCTTACTCCTTTATGACTCCTAATGATTTCCGTCCTTGTACAATTATTCCCTCCCTTTTTCTTACATACAGTAACATAAAATAGGATTTAAGTGAAACAAATGAACGTGTTGCATCTTTGTTTTTATGTGTGAGCAGTAATAACACAAACATTATTTCTCTCTAGTGGATTCTTGCAGGGAGGGGAGATGAGGCCGTCTTGTCAAAGGGGCTTTGTTGGTAATTTCACAACAATGACTTTCATGCTTTAAAAGAAATGTTATGCAAGTCTTGCTGCATGCATAAGAATCAAACAGACTTGAATTTCACCGGCAATGCACAGCGGCATTGTAGCGGAGCTTTTGAATTTGCCATTGGTTGTGTGGGTTTGCCTCTTTTGTTTTCACGCTGACACTTGCTTGCATTCTTCCACAGTTCGCCATCTGTGAATGTATCTGAACCGACTCTTGTTTCAGTGGATCTGGGCTGCCAATCTGGGTCGCCATTGTTGGGAGCAAGTCACGTGTGTCGGGCTTTTTGCTTGTCTTGCAGAGCAAACTCGATGGTCTTTGAGTTTCCCTTATTTAGGAGCCTCTCTTCAAACCAAGTCTGTCCATCTAGCCGTCATACTGCTAGTCCTGCTGATCTTGTTTTTTTTTTCCCCGGTCAGCTAGGAGTGTCATGACTAAAAAAAAATACTTTAAAAAACAGTGGTTCACCGAACCTCGGTGACGACGGCCATGACACGAGCGGCTCTTGGTCAAGCAACAGGCCCACATGTGACCCAGCTCAGAGTAACTGTGACTCTGTGGAAGCTAAAGCTGATTATTGCGGCAGTCTATCCCGGCGGCCTGTCTAAAGAGATCTGCTTCACTTCAGGTCACGAGTCACTTAGCGAAGCCGTTTATTGGGCTCGGTCATTTCCAAATCACTCGTAAGCACAACAAGGTTTTCATATTAACTGCTGCTTTTGGTGGATGGGATTTAACCGGGCGTGCCAAAAAATGAAGTCATTTAATTTTGGTTTGACTGGTAGAGCCTTTCAGAAGTCTTTCTTTTGCATAGTTTCTCCATTTTAGTCACTAATATTTGTTGTTGGAGTGTTCATTTTCTGTTGTATAAAAACACGTTGCAATAAAGATACTTGCTGGTGGGAGTAGCTTTAAAAACCACTTTCCTTCACTGATTCCTTCATAATGTTGCAGATCTATTCAAGTAGGTTGTAGATACATTTGTCTGATTGTGCAATCAGCGATGATTAATCTACATTATGTGATGATACAACAACGGCCGATTCAAGTATTGCAGAGGAATATTTAATCTTGTCTTTAAACATTTGCATCCTTTGAATTGTTGGTTCAAGCATTTTAAGTATGAAACTTAAAAAGCTTTTTGATCTTGCAGAGTATTTGTTTTAGTGAGTCTGATGCTAAAAAAAGAGAAAAAGCCAAACTCAGTTTTTGTGCTAGCAGAAAAATGGAAATAACAAATCCAGTCCTTTTTTACATGTCCTCTTTAACTCATACGTATATAAGTTTAATGTTTCACACTCCCAAAAGCAAAAGCAAAATTTGTTTAGTCTGACAGCCTCAGTAAGCTAGTTATTTGACCTGCTGCTTTGTTTCTGCTAATAAATGTCTGATCAAACTCAAAAGGTACAATAATTCATGTTTAAATGTTCTAGGACAGATATTTACAGCTTGTTCATTTTCTTTTCTACCGACAGAACCGGTATTTGAAACGAGGCTTTCAATAGCTTGCTTTGATTCTTAGAAAAACGAACTAAAAAAATCTCTAAAGCTCTATAGTTTAATTGTGATTTTTCTAAAAACTGTAAATTAAAAAAAGAGTAATTTAAAAAGAGTGTCTTGCAATGGGACTTTGAAAACACATTTCATTCTGTCACTTAATCAAAAAATATTTAACTTCCGGAGACATTTTTAACTTCAGATGGATTATGTCACGGTGCAGCATCCCACGTAACATCTGGCAACATTGTGCTGCGGTCGATCATTTCCTGCCATTGATTGTGTAGGCTGCAGCGGCAGGTTATTGTTGCTGACTGTTTGGTCCATGCATGGATGGTTGAGTCAGACTGAATCATTTGTATGGGACATTAATTGGATAGGCATAGTGAGCCTTCATTTGTGACTTAAAAATCAATAAGGACAATTTTTTTTTAATCTGCCTGACATGTCATTAAAAAGTTTTATCCTAAAGAGCGAAGGAGGTGTCATTCCTGATAAAGGTTTTTGGTGTGATGATGTTGATCTGGATGTAATAAAAAAGAAAAACATTTTCTTTCTAGCTTTTATTTGTTGGTATAGAAATAGTTTGTTTGGTAAAATCAAACAGATACAAGCTTAAAAATGATTATGGACCCAACAACTTTGCTAAAATCTTATTATTTATTTGTTTATTTGCTTGATTTGTGGCACAGGGTTACAAAGTTTGCAAAAACAAGTCTGAAAAGTCTGCATATACTGCTAACAATCTTTGCAAAGTGGAACACTGAGACGACACCAGCTTCTTTTTGATATGCCTTGATCATGTGATCAGTGAATTGGGTCCAGAAAAATTTTGCAGAAATAGTTTTTCACCTACTTTGGAAACTAAGTCTGTTATATTGGAAATCTTTATTCTTTGTGTTCAGTGTTACAGCTACATGCTGAACTCAGGTCTGTCTTATGTGTCTGAGAAACAGTGAGCTGCAGCAGCCAACAAGGCCTGTTTTTTTTTTCCACTGTGAAGGTTAAATTTAGATGAAAGCATCTAAATTTTTGCCCTGATTTGGTCAACCTCAGAAATACTACAAGTTTTCACCTTTTCCAGTAGATTACATTTTTTTTACTCAATTTCTTGTCAATGTTTACCTAGTTTTTCTATTAGAAAATGTGGTAAGAAGGCCTGAGACTTATAGAAATATAAATATTTTAAAAAAGTATTCAGAAGAAACACAATAAATACATTATTCAACAACAAAGTCACAAATGCATGTTCTCCTAATGTGATGCAGCCTGGTTTAGCTCAGTCATTATATCTCTGCTACTCAGTCTGTTGTCACCAAGTGTTTGTGTCATGTCTGCAGATCAGTAGCACTTTAATGCCATTGTTCCCTCTCGTGGTGGAGGCAGGGCATATTGACTGTAAGAGAGCTGCCTTCCTCCTGTTTTCTTATCCGGCCCAAATATGTCACTCACTGCAGCTTTTCCTGCTGAGTCCTGTCTGCAGCTGGGATGCTTTCTATGCAGACAAGTGGACAGAACCCCAAACCTGACCTTGTCTTATCTACTTGTTTGGTCTAACTAAACGAAAATAGTGTCTTTTGAATGTTAAATATGTGGGGAAAAAAAAAAAAAAACTCTCAGTTACTATTATTGTGAAATAATCTGGTCTTCTTTATGGAGGTTGACTAATATGGAAGAGGGTAGATGTAACACAGACAGCGATTTAATTCTTCTGCAGCGATGCTCACGCCAGCTCCTCATTGGCTCTTTGGTTTCTGCTGCAGGTTGTCTCTCCACTTCTAAAAATAACATAAAAAGCATCCCTAACCTCATTAAAAATGCATCCACGCTGCATGGGAGATGTAGGAGATAAGCCATTCCAGCATAGGAAGAAACTTGTTTTCAAAAAAATAAAAATAAGAGGCCACAAGATAAAATCTGAATGCGTCCACTTCCACCGAATAAAAGCTATGATCGGCTTATTATCTGTCGTTGTCGTTTGTGGGCTGATGTTTTCTCTCTCTGCTTCCTCACAGTCAATAAGCACAAACCGTGGATCGAGACAACATACCATGGGATTGTGACGGAGAACGATGACAAAGTTATTCTGGACCCCCCTCTAATTGCGCTGGACAAAGACGCACCTTTACGCTACGCAGGTGAGAGAGAAAGCTCAACGCCGCTGCCTCTCGTTCGCCAGTTCATGACCAGCCCTGCTGTTGAGATCACCTTCAGGTCATAAAATGAAAGAGAAATCAATATTATGCAAAACAACTGTGTGACTCATAGACGTAGATGGCTGATATATATTATTAAAGGCCGACGATGAATTATTCATTTGTCAAATTCATTATTTCTTCCCAAATAAGATAGAAAGACAGCTGTTCTTAACACGGAGGTAGAGCCTCTGATCTATTCTGAGCGCCAGGCTTTGAAATCACAAATGCATCATGGTTAATGTATGAAGGTCTTCTGCCATGCTGAGTGTTTTAATAAGTTTTAATTCTTCCCGTGATGAATGACTCTGAGACAAACTGTTTGATTTTTTTTTTTATTCATTTTTTTAAACATTTAAAACAGCGGCTGACTCAGCATGAGGAGGTCAGGAACCGTTAAATCTTACCTTGTTGCTGTAATTATGGTTTCATTCTCTGCGGTGTTACACACATGTGACTCCACCATTGGATTTTTATGACTTGCCTTTCATATTGATGGACATCTGGCTGCCATACCACAAGATTGTCCCTTTTGATTTATCAGATCAAAATTGTTTTTTAAGTTTTTTTTTTATTCTCCCCAGAGGGGAGCCACAATTTATGAGTTTAATGTTATGAGAAAAACATTTGCTCCCGGTGTCTTTAATCACGTCAACATTGACTTTTGGCCAGGCCTTAAAGCAGCAGATGAGTTGCATGGTCTTTTATCTGCTTTATTGCTCCTCGTGTGATCATTTTAATCCAAGATTACTCGTCTTGAGTTCCCGTGAGGCGTCTGCTTCCACATTTTCCACCAAAACAGACGACATCAGCAAAGAGGACGGTGACGGCCCTGCTGAACCGGACCGCCGCACCGTCGCTGTTTTTAACGATAAGCCTGCAGAAACAGAATAAAGCGCTTCATTCTCCGCATGATGATTGGCTCCCTTCACAGCAAATTAGTGCTGAACACACAGCTTGGTGCAGCCACCTCTTTCAACGGGGGCTCCCCTTTTGATGAGCGGCGTTTCTGAACGGACTGTGTGTCCCTGTGAACTGTCTCTCTGTCTCTCTCTGTCTCTTTGGAGGCAGAGCAAGCAGTCTGGCTTCACGTGGCAGCAGGGGTGATTTGCTCCATCACGCCAGATTCCCTCCATCTGTGCCAACTAAGAGGGTTCCCCGTTAAGCCGACCCACAGGCCGCTCAGAGGCCCAATCAAATACTCGCCTTTAAGTCAGATCAGAGTGAATAAAATCATGTTTGCAGTAGAAGAGTTGCGGTTTAGATCAGCATGTGCTGCAGTGCCTTTTTGTTAGATTATAAACACATATTTAAATGTAATTTACTGGAATTTAATATGATAGAAGGATGCAAAAAAGTGCATAATTGTGTAGCAGAAAGTAAAGGTTTTTAAATTTTTCCACAGATACAAATCTGAAAAGTTTGCTGTATTTAGGATGCACATTTAGCAACAACGCTATTTTTCTTCCTCATGATTTACTTCAATAAAATAATTTCTAAAGGTTACATAGAAAGAAAAAACTAAGCAAAACACGGCAAAATAAATGTATGTCCCGGACAACTGTAGCATCATTCAATTTATAACTTGGAACTTACGTTGTTTGCAGTTTACTAGAATATTGTTTCACCTGTGCTGTAAGTTTTCTTTACTATTATAAAATATAACATCAGTAGGCGTTACATTTTAGAGTTGAATTGCACAGAGCAGCACGGTTCTCTTCTGAACATCAGTTCAAACTTTTTGGAAAAACACATCTTTTGTTAGTAGCATGCCGAGTTAAATATGCATGTGTGGTTTGGCTAAATGATATATTTTGGAGTAAAATCACAGGTGTTCTAGTATGAACATTATTTTTGAAAACACAAGTCGGAGCCCAGCAGACAAGGTCAGGGTTTTAAACCCTTCACAAATCTAATTGTTTCAAAAACAATTAGCCCAAGGTAAGCTTACTGTTCAATACATCCACAATGTATTGTTTGAAAGGTGTTTGGAACAGCTGCAAGACATGGATATTGAAATTATCCTCCACCCCAAAAAAAGCATAAAGTTTCAAATCTGTTGACAAGGGAACTGTTGGTTGTGGCCTCCCAATCTGCCTGAAACCATTGTAGGAAAAAAGATACAAGAAGTCCAATTTACTGCCAAGCAGAGGATGTGGCGAAAGGTTCTCAGGTCAGATGAGATCAGAATTTAAACCACAAAACCCAGGAATTGTTTTTTTTAAATTTATTTTATTTTTGTTCAACTTGACAGTTTTGTTCAACTTTGTCTGTCGTATAAAACCCAATAAAAAACACTTAAGTTTGTGCATTATAATCAAGTGTGGGAAGTAAGGCAGCAAACACTAATGGATGACCCAAATGACAAATAATTACTCTCTAACTCTGCCAATTCAATTCCAGAGAATTAGGTAAGGATGGGTTTCCAAATGAACTTTTGCTGAACATAAAGGCTGACACTGTCCTTCGCTTTATTAATGTATTTATTTAGTATTTCAAAATAAATTTTAAATTTGAGATACGAAGGCCTAAAAAAAGCCCTAAAGAGAACTTACGGAGGCCTTCACAGAAGCCTCCAGAGAGTTTGTATTCAATGTTGCTTATATTATGGCGAAACTCATCTGTAATCAAGATAAATGACTCACCCAAAGGCTGAGAATGTGATCAAACAGTCTCTGGGAAGTGGGATTCTTATCTGTAACCCTATTGTCAAAAAAAAGCAACAAAACTTTTGCCGTGCTTTTAAAATTCACTTTTTTTTTTATCCGGAGAGAGCCTTCTCCTTATCATGATCTTTTGTGATGTTGGTGTTCAGCTCAAGAATGTCTCTTCTTTTCCTCAACGTGTCTTCTAACTTTCTTCCTATCTGGGTTTATCTCCTCTCCCCTCCACATAGAGAGTTTTGAGGTGACCCTCACCGAAGAAGGTGATCGTGGGCTTTTTTTTCCTTCTGCCTTGTGCTTATTTTTTACTTTTATTTATTTGTTCACAATTAACCCACTAACATAAAAAGCAGCATCCACACTTTTTACACAGAAACTCCCTATCATGCTCTGTAATTGACCTCCTCGTTTGTTTTTCGCTGGTTCTTTCCCCCCTCTCCCCGCCTCACCTTGACTTTTTTTTTTTTTTTGAAGAGCTGAAACAGCTGGATGAAAAGTGTGATGTGGGGACTGACTGCTCTTAGAAATATCTGTGCATGAGACATCCATTGCAGTTTGCAGACCCTAACAGTGTATCAGCTGTCACCTGGAGAACTAAAACCACCTCTGAAAACAGGAGTTCTCTTGTCTTTTTTGCGCCATTCTGTCCAGCAGGTTCAATTAAAATAACCCTGGTAGCTTTGAAAATGTCTATTAATGAGCCAAAGCTAAATCCTACAGCTGAATTTGATTCCAATGAAAGATAGAAAAACACAGATTTCCTGAAGGTGCTAACGTGCTCATCATTGGCCTTTTCCTCTTACAAGTATTTGAGAGTAACTCCTGCAGATTTCTGTGAATTTGCTGAGATTGTTAACCGATGCAAACTCTCTCTTTTCGCTCTCTCTCGCTGCAAAGCTTCTGTTTTTTACATCCCTCGCCTCAGTGGATCTCTTTTGAGTTTAATTCTCCGCCACTAATCCCAACCATTAGCATGGCTGCAGTCATTTGATGTGGATGTCAAGCAAGTTGATATTTCTAACCCCAGTTCTCATCCAGTGCTTTTTGTTTTTGGATCCTTTTATCGTGCTGGTTTGGTTTCCGTATGGTTTCTGGGTTTCTTTTGCAGTTGTTTTTGGATGAGAGGCAGGCAGAATTACACAGGAAGACTTTCTTTAAATGGTGAAAACTACTTACTGGAAGTGTTATCTTTTTCTTTCACAGATTTTATTGGCGGGTGGAGGGGGGTGTTGATTGAGGAATTGGTGTTTTATCACCTTTATATTTGTTTATTTATTTTTTTAATTTAATATGCCTTTATCTTTGTATTCACTTTTTTTTTTAAAGCTCTGTTTCACGACTTCCGTTTGTTACAACATCCTGAGTGCTCCTGTGAAATGCCTGTCCACGTTTTTTTTTTTTTTTTTTTGGTTTCTGCCTGCATGACTGGATGCACTGGTTTTCAAGTGGCTTGGAAATTAAAACGAAGTTATCTCAAATGCCCCACACCCTCACCCCGACTACTCACTCACATGATGTGCGGTTTGGCTTCCTCCACAGACTCCATGCACTTCTCTACCTACAACCCTTTGGTTCCCAAAATTTGTGGCTGTTTGTTTATTTTTGCGTGGATTTTTTCCCCCCAATTAATGCTATTTTATTTATTTATTTATTTATTTATTTATTTATTTTATCTCAAATTTGATGTCGCATCTCTGATCGGCTGTTCTGAGCAAACTCCCTTTTGACTCAGGTGAGATTTGCGGCTTCAGGATCCACGGGCAGAACGTCCCCTTCGAGGCAGTGGTCCTGGACAAGTCCACTGGTGAGGGGGTCATCAGGGCCAAGGAGAAGCTTGACTGTGAGCTGCAGAAGGAGCACACCTTCACCATCCAGGCCTACGACTGTGGAGAGGGACCTGATGGCGCCAACATGAAGAAATCACACAAGTGAGTCAAGCTTGGCCACGTCAGAGGATCCCTGATTTGATTTATTGCACAGTCTGTTTATAGACTTTAACCTGGTTTAAAAAAATCTTACAGTCACAGATTTACTGCATTATTACATACACTGTATAAATATACACAAAGGCATTTTTACTCACTGTAATTAAAACAGACTAAATATTTTCTGCTTTAGATTATTTTATGTTTCTCTAAATGCCAGAATACTGAGAACATTTTTTAAAAATCTTTCTTAATGTTAGAACCTTGTGTGATCAAACACATGGATGTACTTTAAGCCATACTTCTCAACTATTTGTAGTTCAGTATTTGCATATTCACATATTTGTGAATTGATCTGTGAAATGTAACTGCAAATTATGCACAGATATTTTCGCAAGTATATCTAAAACATTTAACAGAAAACCCAGCTTGGGAAGCTGAAAAACCGAGGCTCATTGCACATTACACGCTATTGGATGTTGCTTGCAAAGCAGCCAATCGAGGAGCCCCATTTATCTTCTTATTGATGGGACGGACCAATAAGAGCAAAGATAAGGAACACCAGAGATTAATAAAGTTTAATCCACAATAGAAGATAATTAGTTTTATCTGCTCTTCACTACAACTCCTCTCTTAAAAACAATTTAAACAGAAACTGAAAATGATGTCTGTTGTCTTCAATTTGAGTGAAACTCCTGGTAATCATACAAATGGATCTTTTGATTTCCTTTGCATAGTGAAATGCTTCTACTAAAATTCTTGTTGCTGGTAAAACATGCCGACCGTGTTCCTGCTCCTCTCAGGGCGACCGTCCACATCCAGGTGAACGACATCAACGAGTATTCCCCGGTGTTCAAGGAGAAGACGTACAAAGCCACCGTGATCGAGGGGAAGAAATACGACAACATCCTGAAGGTGGATGCGGTGGATGCCGACTGCTCCTTCCAGTTCAGCCAAATCTGCAGCTATGAAATTGTCACGCCCGACGTTCCCTTCACTATCGACAAAGACGGTGAGGAGCTTGAAGGAGCGTGCCTTTGTCTTTGCCCGCTTGGAAAACGGATCAGCACGCGGCTGAGATAATGGATTGTATTGACATGGATCAAGGTGTCTATTGATTTGTGTACAGACTGACGCCACAAGGCTTTCATTTAAAATTCAGCACAAGCAATAGCAGCCTTTTGCAAATATCATCCAGGGTGGTCAGTATTTTCTCATTATGTCTGTTTCTTGTATTTCTTTGTTGAAAAATAGCACAACAGATAAGAAGGAACTAAAGACAGTTCAAAATGGCACCTCAACAACAGTGGCCATCCATCTTCTTCTCTTCTTTTACATCAACGATTTAATATTTTTGGGCTGTTTGTGAGGGTCTTATATTTGTTACGTCTTTATAGTTTAGAAAAATGTCAGTTTCATCAGAAAAATGAATGAAACTTGAGTTTTATTCCCTTTTGTTGTTGCCTTATCAGGCTTTATTAAAAACACTGAGAAGCTGAGCTACGGCAAAGAGCACATGTACAAGTTGACCGTGACCGCCTACGACTGCGGGAAGAACCGAGCTTCTGAAGATGTGTTGGTCAAAATCAGCATAAAGCCCACCTGCAGACCCAGCTGGCAAGGTATGAAAGTCAAACTTCCCATACTATTTTACAACTCTACACAGATTACCACTCCTTTAATCTCTCAATTCTCCTTTTTTCTTGATTTTCAGGCTTCAATAAGAGGACTGAGTATGAACCGGGCACCGGTAGCCTGGCTCTTTTCCCCAGCATGCACCTGGAGACCTGCGATGTGCCCATCACCTCCGTCCGGGCCAGTATTGAACTGGAAACCAACCACATTGGAAAGGGCTGTGACCGTGACACGTACTCTGAGAAGTCACTGCACAAGCTGTGTGGTAAATAAATAAACTTTCCGCTGGAAACGTTAATAATTTGCACTCGAAGTTGGACTTCTTTTTCTCGAACTTTTCGACATTTTACAAATGCACAGTTGTGACACGGAAAGAAAATTATGCAAAAATGAGAGTAGAATATGTTGCCCTCCTATAGTCTCAATTAAATAAATCCAGTTCCTTCCAAAGACCCCTAATTAGCAATTCCAAATTGCAGGGCATGTCTTTTTCCACCTGGATGAGAATAAAACATATTTCACAATCTGTCCTAAAAGACCCAGAAACCAATTATATCAGTCCGTTGCTCAGTGTTGATTTAGGGAAAAGGGCAAAGATCTGATCAGATGAGACTGACTCACACTGAGCTGGCAGGGAAACCCAACAAGACTTGCAGAAGAATTACAGTGAAAGACGATCATTGAGGAAGGTAGAATACATATGTATGTCTTTTTTTCCCCCAGATTTTCATCTGGGGGAAAAAATTTCCCTCCTCTTTACAGTTGTGGAAAATTCTGTGTTGAGCCAGCAGATAAAATACACTGTAGTCATGTGACAACATGCAAACAGAGTTTAGGGGGCTGAGTATTTTTGTTAAGGATTGTTTTTCACCTATGTCACTCACTTCATCCACCTTTTCATCTGTTTGCTTGTAAAAACATGTGAAAGTTGCATGTTTTCAAGTTAAAGCATAAATACACAAAACAGAATCCAGTGTAGATACGTAAATCTGCTTCTGCCGTCGTCGTATCTTAGGAGCCAGCTCCGGTACCGTGGAGCTTCTTCCTGCTCCGAGCAGCTCTGCCAACTGGACGGTGGGACTGCCCACTGATAATGGACACGATAGCGACCAGGTGTTTGAGTTCAACGGCACCCAGGCCATCAAGGTGCCCGATGGTTTGGTGAACACCAACCTGAAGGAGCCCTTCACCATCTCTGTGTGGATGAGGCACGGACCCGGCTCCCACGAAAAGGAGACGATCCTCTGCAACTCAGACAAAACAGGTAGAGGTCTATGATAATCTGATACTCTGCAGAAAAACGGCATTGCTCTGATCAGATCAACAAAAGTCAGCGATGCTCTTCAGGTGATAGTAGGCCGACTTTGTAATTATCTTTATGTGCCTCTGAAGGTTCAGACCTGATCTAGCCGACTCTAGACCGTTCCTCTTTAGGTCAATGCATCTGAAAGTTGAGTATCTGAGGGCAAACCTGTGACAAGTTCCCTCAGCTTCTCATTACTGCCACACACACTTAGTCTGCTAGTTCACGTCGTATCTCTGGCTCAGACTTAAGCCACAGTTATAATCAGTGTTTGTGTTGCGCCAACTGAAGCGTGCAAGCCCTCGCTCTCACCTCTGCTCACTGACCGTGCTTCCTTTTATTTTAGAGACTATATGATCAGTCACAGGCCGCCTCTATCTTATTTTCTGTAAAGTCTCTGGTGTGATCAGTGAGCAGGCCGTCGTGGCGGCTTGTCAGTTTCGGTTTGGCTGCTTATATAAGAAGAATTACATCAGGGCGGCTGCGTCCCAGACAGGACGCTCTGAGGCTCGTGATGTCAGCGCACCATCCGTGACCTCTCTTTAGCACAGAGTCACGGAAGCATGAATCCTGCTCTTACGCGTCAGCACACGTTAAATTTTGGTGCTCTAACGAGAATAAAGCAATGTTTTTTATTATTATTATTAATTTAAGATGTCACATTTTCAGGAGATTAAATGAAGCGTAGGGTCTAATCCTGATCTTTTCCCCTTTCTTCTTACCTGCAGATATGAACAGACACCACTACTCCCTCTACGTTCACAACTGTAGGCTAATCCTTCTCCTCCGCCAGGATCCATCCGAGGCAGAGAACTACAAACCAGCAGAGTTCCACTGGAAACTGGACCAGGTCAGCCACCGCTCCTCAAACCGAGCTCTATTTGTGCTCATGCGATTTTTCAACTCTCTTTTTTTTATTTTTTCAACTGCCATGTTTACAGGTGTGTGACAAAGAGTGGCATCATTATGTGCTCAACGTGGAGTTCCCCACAGTTTCTCTGTTTGTGGATGGGACGTCCTTCGAGCCCTTCATGGTCACAGAGGATTACCCACTGCACCCCTCTAAGATCGAGACTCAGCTCACAGTTGGTGCCTGCTGGCAAGGTAGACACTTTGATTCCCTTCAAGTTATTTAATAAGCTTTCACGGTTTATATCAACGGTTTCCAACACAAATCCTGGAAACCCACTGTCCTGAAGATGCACCTCTGTGTCTCTCAGTGACAGTCATTGAAGATCCTGGTTTACGTAGATTGAAACAGACAAATTAATATGACATAACACTGTGATATAAATTGAATTTTGAATTGAATTTCAGTTCAAGAGGTGTGAATACTTTCTTAAAGCACTGTATGATGATGGAATAAATTAAAAACATCTAGCAGTACTCGTCACAGTCTGTTTTACGTTTTGTTTAGTCATTAATGTTGTTTTTACTCTTCCTGGGAATCTCCAGTGATGCGGCATGATCTATTTATTCTGTAGCATCTGTAGTCTCTCCTGCAAAAATCCTCAACCTTCCTTCCTCTCTCTTTCCTTGCTCTCTCGTTTTCCGTCCAATTACAGAAAACTCGGGACATGACAATGACACTGAGGCGGCCCCTGAGACCACCTCAGGTTGCTTAAGTCTTTCCCTTCCTCCTCAGACGTGTCCATGTGTCCAGAACGTCCCGCCATGCTAACAGCTTAACTGCATCTTCACACCATTTTAACTAGAATGACAGGAGCATTCTAGATGCAAAGATTGTTGTTTGCTTGTTTATCGACCCTCTTTACAGCATGATGGGCTGCGTATAAGTTTTGTGATGCCGTCCTACCTGTTATGTTTTCTTTCTTTTTTTTTCATTTTCTTCACCTTCTTTTTAATAATTGATTTAGATCTTCGGAAGTCAGGAGGTTTGTCCTCTGTTTCAGCCAATACTCTGTCTCCAGCAGAACACAAATAGAAACATAAAGAGCATAAAAACAACTCTGATCCGACTGCGTGTTTTCGTCCATACCGTCAAGTGTGACCTTGTCGAAACTCCTTCATATCAGATAACAAACCTGCAGTTGCCTAAAAATACATACATGGCTGAAGGTTCGTCTGACCTTGAGCTGTACGGTTTGGGGCTAACGCTGCGGTAATTAAAGCTCAGTATTACTGATGATATTTGTCAATATCAACATTTTCCCATCTTGAAATTCTGTCGTTTGTCTCAATTTGCTGAGAAAAGCAAATTCTTTTTTTTTATTTTCCTCCCCTTTATGTCTCCTTGTTGTTGTAATATCTTTATCCACAGTACGTTCATAGCTCCACTTCATTGATTTGAATGTTGCATGTGCAGAAGGCATACATAAGCTCATCCATCTCATCCTCCAGGCCTCGGGCCTTTAAGGGGACATATACTAACTTGCATGAACTTCACTCATGCCAGCTTTGCTCATTGAGACGGCACGCTTCCATAGTCAGCCCTGAAACATTGAAATCCCCTCTTAAGTAACTCACTTATTTTCGTGTTGTTCCATTTTCCGTACTTTCTGAACCAGGCGGGAATGCCCGAATGGCTCAGTTTTTCCGAGGAAACCTTGCAGGCCTGATCATCCGCTCCGGCAAGCTGGAGAACAAGAAGGTGATCGACTGTTTGTACACCTGCAAAGAAGGCCTGGATGTGCAGCTGCCTGAGGAAGTAGCTTCAGCGGTGAAGGTGAGGGAGCAGGTGGTCAGTTGATATCACACGGATCGTAGCTGTTTATTTTGTAGTAATTTTTTTTGTCCACCGTACTGATTTGTTCTTATTGTAATACATTACAAAATATGTGTAATTTGTTAGAATTTAAAACAGAAAGATACCAGAACTGCTGTGAGCAGAGCAGAGGCAAATAGGACTTAAACAAGAATTTTCCGAACAGAAACAAAAATAACTGTGACGTTAACGTTTTAAAATGTGAACAATGGCCTCCACTTGTTTGGCCTGGCTAACATCATAACCACAGTCGCTGTGCGTATATTCTCTAGAGAATATCGAGCCTTATAATCCAGTTTGTCTCACATCAGGCAGAGACTGAATGGTCAAAATGATAAAACCTCTCCTGTACTCTGTTTAGCCTTCCTGTTGTCTGCCAAAAGTCTTGCTCTCTTCCTCCTTTTGCAGCATGAATAAAATTGTTTCCCTTTAAAGAACTTCACACATCTTTGTGGTTCCTTTGACACTATTTTAAGCACCACAACTGTAATTGACACAGCCAAGAAGCAGGTCTTCTTCTATCAGTAACAACTTCCACACTGAAGGCTGTTAAGATGCGTTTTTGTGTGAATTATAAAAGAAGAAAGTGAGTAGAAGGGTTTAATGATGCTGAAAAGCAGATGGACAAGGGCTAAATACATTTTTAATTGTCTCATGAGTCACCTGTGCAACAATGCCTACAGGTGAATCCGTAGGCATAATGGTTTAACTTCCAGGGATTTTTACACTTGAAAATCTGTTTTAGGTAAATAAATGAACTTTTGGGCTCAGTTAGGTAAACTCCTACTTCATTTCCTTCACTTAGGTTGATTTCAACCCCAACCAGTCCTCTTTGACAGTGGAAGGTGACGACATCGACGCCTTTGACAAAGTCATGCAGCACATCTCCTACTTAAACTCCCGCCAGTTCCCAACCCCAGGCATTAGGCACCTTCGCATCTCCACCACTGTTAAGTAAGTGACAGAAGCAAAACGTAATTTATATCAGAAGCCTGTGAGTGGACCGCATGTACACTAAATTAGAGAACAGGGATTCGTTCATTTACAGCCGTGATTTTAGGGTATTTGTCAACTCTTCGGCAGGTGTTTGAACGAGGACGCCTGTGTGGGGGTGCCGGACGCTGAAGGCTACGTGATGGTGCTGCAGCCCGAGGAGCCGAAGATCAGCCTGAGCGGCATCGACCACTTCGCCCGCAGCGCCGCTGAATTCGAGAGCCAGGAAGGTGTGACTCTGTTCCCCGAGCTTCGCATCGTCAGCACCATCACCCGGGAAATGGAGGCCGACGCAGAGTCTGAAGCAGCAGAAGGCACTGACGATGACCCTACAGGTAAGGGACGCCTGGACCTTTAGACAAGACCTTACAGTTTAGAAGATCAGTAAAATGTTTAGTCGAAGTAAAAAGGAAACAGTCAGACATGTTTTTAATCAGAGTGTTTGTGTAACTTCAGCTGTCTGCATAGTTATTATATGGAGTGAATGTCTTGATCCGAGCTTTCATTTTCAGTCGCTGCTGATATGTTTTCTTCTTGAATAAAAAACCTGAAAGGAACTGCAGAAACTATTTATAACAGTGTAGAGATACTGTAGCTGGCAATAACTTTGCCTGGAGGATGGAGGAACTGTACAGACACAATGAGATGGAATCAGAGCTAAGTTGTTTATTTCTGGGCGTGGTAAGCGACCAGCCGTGCCATCTGTCGGGCTTCCACCAGGGTTAAGATGAGGAAGGACAATAGACATGCTCCAGAGCCGACACAGATACACTGAGGTACAAAGTGCGGCATATGGGACAAAAGGGGCTTAGCAAGATCAGTTGCTCTTACTTGCTTTAATCTGACCCAACTCCCATGACCGGACAGCAAATAAGGTCACAGCCGATGTTAAAAATCATTTAATTGTAGTCGCCGGAGAAATGTAATTTGCTGCAAGAAAAGCTAGACTGCATATTCAAGCTCTGAATCTAGACAAATTAATATCAGGCGGCAGGATCTAACCTTTTCTGCAACTCTTAAATAACGTAGAAACATTTATAACTAGCTTTTACCTTGTTTTACTGTGACATATGCTTCAAGTACTGTAGAAAATTCAGTTTGACATCATCATAAAACAATCTCGCACGTATTTTTCATTATAAACATTTGTTTAGATTTAACATCACAGCTCAGATGATCAGTTGATGCTGCAGATATTCACTACTGACACAAAACCCACACTCATGCTACTTAATGCCCCAGCAATTACGCAATTATCGTATTTCATCTAATGCCACACAACGCAGACCCTCAGTTTGTACTGATGAACATTCTCTCTCTGTCTTCCCAATATGGTCAGTTTAAGCAACTAAAACAAGTTGTTACAACTGACCAGCATTTCTTACGTGTAGAATAGTTGCTATTCTTCTAAAGAAACCTAGAAACCCAACTAAAGCAGCATCAGCTCTTATTAATGTGTTTTTTTTGTTTGTTTGTCTTGTTTTTTTTGCTGGGTTTCTTTCAGTTCAAGAGACAGTTGTGTCAGAGGAGATCATGCACAACTTGGACTCGTGTGAAGTGTCTGTGGTGGGAGATGAGCTGGACAGCGAGCATGAGAGCCTGGAGGTGGACGTCTCTCAGCTGCAGCAACGCGCCCTGGAGATGAGCTCATCTAACCTGGGCCTCGTCATCACCGGTACACAACACCATAGAAAGTTACAGAGAGATGGCTTCCACCGAAATGATGCCTTTATTTACTTGAGCTTTTCTGTGCGTCTTCCAGGTGTGAACACTATGGCCAACTATGAGCAGGTCCTGCACCTCATCCGCTACAAGAACTGGCACACCGAAGCGCTCTTTGACAGGAAATTCAAGCTGGTCTGCTCTGAACTCAACGGTCGCTACATCAGCAACGACTTCAAGGTTGAGGTAGGAACACATCACCATCGTTTTTATGAATTACTGCCACCTCAAAATGCCCTCTTTGAAAGAAGAAGTTCACAGGCGACGCCTCCCTTCTCTTTAGGTTAATGTGATCCACACGTCCAATCCTGTAGAGCACGCCAACAACGCCATGGTGCAGCCCAACTTCATCAACCCTGTCCATCATGCCTCTGTCGATCTGTCTGGTCACAACCTGGTCAACGCTCACCAGGCTTCAGGTACTGAAATCTGTGGAACATTTGGATGTTTTTTTTGGTTTGTTTTAATCATGCTGACAATGTTTCTGTGTTGTACAAAACCTGATGAAACTGTTTTAGCTCCATGTATCTTACCAGTTTTAATCAGCAGATGGTATTGATGCTAAGTGTTGAAATCAAATCTGTGTAATTAAAGCTCTAGAAATGATCCGGTCTGTTAAAAGGCGGGCGCTGCTGCAGATGGATTACTGCGTATTTAGCCAAAGTAGGGCGTCTGTGAAACACAAGTTTTTGTTTTTTTTTTCTTTTTAGTTTCATTTTATGGCGTTGGTTTACAGATTACACTTGAGCTCAAGTCTGTGACATCTGCACGAGCCATGTTTGGAGCTCAACCTCGTATTCCAGTCTCTGGTATCTGACAAATACTCCCGGTCCAGAACAGAGATCCTATCTGGATCACGTTGGGAAAAGTGGAGCAGTTTGTCAGGAGACAGGAAAAGCTATTTAAAGAAAACACACACACACCTTGAGCTCCTAGACGCCTTCATGTGCAGCTCTGACACACCGTGGTTGCTGCTGTCCTTGAAACGCTCTTACGCCTTCCTGCATAAAACCGGAATCCTTCTATCAATTTCCCGCCGCTGCTTTTTGATTCGGGTTGTTTTCTCTGCAGTGGTTCCCAGCGCTGCCACCATTGTCATTGTGGTGTGTGTGAGCTTCCTGGTGTTCATGATTATCCTGGGCGTGTTCCGCATCCGAGCTGCACACCAGCGAACCATGAGAGACCAGGAGAGCGGCAAGGAGAACGAGATGGACTGGGACGACTCGGCCCTGACCATCACAGTTAACCCCATGGAGGTAGAAAAAAAATATTGACTGAATATTGACAGTTTTTGTCTGATTTTCAAGCAAATATATTTAAAATGACATGCGCGTTTTTACACTGCTGCTAAATCACAAAAAGCAGCACCAAAGAAGTGTCGATCAATTTTGCAATGTTACAAGCGCCCCTATATGAGCGGCACTTTCAATTAAACATTACAACTAAACTGGGTGTAAAATACCCTGATTAAGTAAAGGTGCTCCAAAGAACCGGCCCTGATTTCCTCAACTTTGGGAGGTCCTCACATGTGAAGCCGACCTGATCCACCAATCCCGTCTACCTCAATAAAAACGTAAAACTAATCCTCTATTGTTCCGCTGTGAGAGAGGTTTGACTGACAGACGCACCAGGTTATTTACGTCCACAGTTATCAACAGTCACCCCACTGTTTCCAACTCTTGCTATGTTTAGCAACAATTCAGATAAAAAATAAAAAATTGGTACCGGCCAAAATTGGAATCGTTTTGTTGTTGTTGTTGTTGCATTAGTAACCAAACTTCCCCCTCCCCTTTTTTTCCCGCACCCTGTGATGCAGACGTACGAGGACCAACACAGCAGCGAGGAGGAGGAGGAAGAGGAGGAGGACAGCGAGGACGGGGAGGAGGAAGACGACATCACGAGCGCTGAGTCAGAAAGCAGCGAGGACGAGGAGGGCGGTGAGCCAGAAGACCAGCAGGGGACCAGCAGACAGCAGCAGCTGGAGTGGGACGACTCCACCCTCACCTACTGAGACACACCAAGCCCCCCCACACATGCTCTGACACACACACACATACCCGTCACCGCTTTACGCACCTCTCCATGCAGTTTCTTGTCTAGGAGCCATGATATATATAAATATATATATAAAACAAAATAAAAAAAGAAAAACGACGACAAAAGAATAAATAAAGTATAGAAGAGTCTTCAGCGTTTAGGGTCAAGGCTTTCCTGTTGTTATCTTTGTGGTGGTACTCAGTGTAGTGTAGTCATCACCGGTTTGCTGATTTTTACTTTATGGTTTTTATTTATTATACTTTTTAATTCCCTGGAAAACTTGGCCTACATTTCTTCTGGAGTGTGTGAGGAAGCCAGCCCTGCACTTTCTGTTCTCTGTCAGGCTTTCGCGCGGAGATTCGTTCAGATTTCCCGACCTATATCCTTTGGCTTACCGCTTTTAGGGTCTCTTGCCATGACTTCGGTTTTCTTGATTGTAGTCCACAGTGGAGCAGTTTTATCGAAGTAGCCTGCAATCTCTCTCTCTCTCTCTCTTTTTTTGTTGTTTTTTTTTCTTGTTTTAGTGCATGAGGAAAACTTGGGAAGTCTTACATGTAGAGAAATGAATTGCTTTTTAAAGATTTTTTTTGTAAATATAAATACAATGTAATTAGTCAATGTGTTTAGTGAAAGCCCGCTCAGCAGGGCTCGATACCTTAAAAAAAAAAAAGAAAAGAAAAACATGCCGTATGTAATGTAGAATATTTGTGTCACCGCAGGCTGTAGCATGTTGCTGAATTTCTGCTGAAGCTGTTCCATCGTGCTTTTCCCAAAAGTCTGCCTCGTGATGAGAAACCCAGGACTGTTAACGCGGAGGTTTCCATGACAAAGTGCTGTCCGAGTTTTGACGTTTTCTTTCGATCGTTTCTTTTTTTCTCTCCCTTTTTTTTTCTGCGAGAAGTGAAATCGGTTCCCGTGCTTTTCTCGTGAGCAGGATGATTTGACAGCTTTTCGCTCTGTTACTACCGAGGACCAAAAGCGCCACAATCTGAAAAATAAATCATTTCTCAAATCTTTTTATGCAATACTGACTTAATAAGCAAAATTTGGATTGACATACAAAGAAGAAATGTCAATAAATTAATGATTGCATAATTAAATGTGTAAATTATTGATTTTAAATTTCATAACACATTAAAATCAGACAAGAATTTTATAATTTTATTGAATTGTTTCAGATTTTCTGTCATCATGAAATAACTTACTGTTGTAAAAGATACTCTAACATCTGATTGGTCGGCCCGCACCACAGTTTCAGCCTAACACAATGAATCAGTCAGAAGTTGTTATATTTTTTAAAATCTAACTTCTTATCAGATGCTTTTAAACAACCAACCCAAAGCTATTTTGTATCATAACTGATGCATTAGCCGCTTGTGTTTGTTTATTTGTTCTATTGCCTTAAAACCAATTGCCACCATAGGACTTTGAAATATTTCAATAAATATTGAAATACTTCATATTTTTAACATTGTGAATTCAGATATTAATCAACCATCTCCACATTTAATTATGCTTCATATAACATTGTAATATTGAAATAATTACAGCTAAATCACTTCCTTTGTCTCATGTTACTTAAATGATTAAGACATATACATATTTAATAAATGACTTATTTATTGAATCGTGGTGTTTTTGGCCCATCAATGCGTCACGCTTTGCTCCGCTTGCACAGGTGGCAATGCTCGACTCCTGGCGTTCCCGGTAGAACTCGTCGTTGTACAGAAGGAATCTTTTTATTTTATTTTTCAGATCGGCTGCGCTTATTTCACAACATTTGTTTCTTTTTGCGAACGGCAGGAAAGCAAGGCTGCGAGATTTTGAAACGGAGGTCCTGAACTTCCTGCAGTTTGGACCAGCAGAGATTTGTCGGGTTGTTTTTCAGAGAGAAAAATGTATTTTTTCTCCACAGTACGGCTGTTTAATCCTAAAACGATCATGTGTTTATTCTGTGCATTTTTAACCTATTCTCCAGCTCCGACCCGCATCACGGATTTTCAGCAGGAAAACACTTTAAAAATAACTTCTTTTTTTCTTCACAATAGACCACTAGACTTTATTGTTCATGGAATCACACTGGTAGAGTTGTTCCTACATATTTGTTCACATTTGGTAAACTTAATTTTCCTGCTGGAATTTAGTATAAAATATACTATCGATTGGGAAAATGTGACGAGCCTGTCTCCTCTCAGACACTGTTGTCCGTCACTGTTGTGTATGTACATATATATAAATATATTTGTCTTACAAAATCAGAAGATGACGATCCTTTGCTCTTTACTCTAATGTGAAGGTACTAAAAGCTGCATTAATTACTAGCAGATTTTTGGCATTGCATGGCACAGAAGCAGCGTTTACAAAAAGCATTAGTGGCTGGATTTTGGTTCTTTTTCTTTTTCTTTTTTATGCATGAGTCTGTTTTCAGAGGCCAAATCTGATTTTCTTTATGGGGACAGAGCTTTCTTTTAAAGAGTTGATTTTTTGTTTCTAATCTCCAGTTAATTGCTTAACGACCAGTCTCCCTTCCATGATGACACGTAAAGCACGGGGCCAGGTCTGAGCCAGCTGAGGTGGGGAGTGCCTTTTCGCCAACCGTTGCAAAATTAGCAGGTCTAACAAAAAACAAAAAACATTTATCCACTCTCTTTTATTTGTGACATTTTTTTATTATTGTTTGATGCTAGATTTCTTACAAAGCTGAGATGGGTTTTTTTTCAGCTTGTAGTGACTGTAGTCCACTGCTAGTTTTATTGAAACTACAAACATTCTACATTAGATGTCATGTGTCCTTGTTGATGTGTAGAGAAAGTAGATCCATATTGTATCTTCTATAGATATTGTACTGAATCCACCTTTAAATGATGTACAGTACATGAAGAAATCGCTTTGGCAGCATAATGTGGGCGTACTAATAAATTTTGCTGTCTGTGTACAGTGGAAGGTGATTTTTTTTTTTTCTTTTTTTGAACCTTGTCCCATCGTCAGAGCTGTTGAGAAGTGATTCTGAGGGCAGCATGAGTTTTACGCAGTCGCAGTAAGGCCTGCCATCTCCAAAACTCGCATCTTCATCGTGTCACAGTTCAAAGTCCAGTTCAAAAGTCAGTAATGCTTTCAACACAAGTCTCTGCCGTTACTCCAACCCCCTTAATACGAGTCACTTCTTGCCATAAAACGCAGCCAGGCCGTAGCGCCCCTACTAGGAATCGGCTTTGCATGAGCCACACGTTTGTGAATGTCCCGTGTGGGGTTGAGACGGAGAAAGGAGTCTGTGACGCACTACTGATTCTCGAGATTGTCTTGTTTCACACATCCATCACCCTCCAGACCAGATTGTCGTTTTTTATTTTTATTTTTTTGCTGTTTCCTTTAAAATGTTGTTCAAATGGACAAACGGTTGTGATGTCTGCATAAAAATGTTGGATGCTTCCTTTGTTGCTCGTTGGAGCCGCTCTCACTTTCCTAGCAGCCGGAAGGCGGGTTGTAGCCAAGTCGACGCTCGCTCTTAAACGAAATAAAGGATGAACTGATGGGATGTAAACACTTCCTGTCCTTGTTTTGTCTTTTCTTTGAGTTGTTACAATAACTGTGCCACTGTTTAAAATGCATTTCTGGGGAGGAATAACACCCCCTGCATGCAGAACGTCTGGAGCAGTAGTGCCCTCTGGTGTTGAGGGAAAAGTGGGCACTTTTTTTTTTAAAGATCACAGTTAAGATCACAGGTTAATAAAATTTAAACGCTGCCAACATGAACACTACTGAAGATTTATGGAGCATGCTTAAAAGCCAGGAAGCCAAACCATCACAGAATCAACACACACACTAATAAATAAGACAAATTTAGAGATAAAATGTTAGTGTAAAATTAGTGTGAAACTAATTTTCAAATATCTTACCAACAAATATTTAGTTTTTGTCCTTCTGTGACTTACTGATTCTGCTCTACCAGCACTGAAATGTGAGTTTTGCTCAGTTTAGTCACTAAAATGTCCACAGAAAAACACTAGATTGGTTATAATTAAGGCGATCAACAACTTTTTCTAAAATGTATTTTAATAAACGCTTTTAAAAAATAATGTTATTCTAAATACAATGAATATTATTCAAGGAAGCACCGGTATACTTTAATGCACAATAATTCACATGTGATCAATATAAAGAACATTTTTACTGGGCCTGTTTAGGGGCGGCTTTGTACAATCAGAAGTCACTTTATGCTTCTTACAGCAAACAGCAGGCATTATGTGCAGTCCAGGTCAGAAGTTTACAAACCAATCTTTTAGCTTGGGCCTTTTGGAGTTTAATTTACGCAAATTTTTCCAGCACGGGACAATCATACAAAATAAGCTCTGATTTAAAACAAAAAAAACAAATAGGTGTATAAGATTGTTATTGTTGCTTTTCAGTAATACAAACAGGGTCAGATTTGTGCAATCAGGTAATGGCTGAAATATATGTGTACAACCCCAACTGTTTTTAGATAAGTTCCCATTAGCAACTAATATCTCATCCCTGTGCTTTTTTTCATGTGTTGAAATACTTTTGGTGAAACTCTATATTCTATTCATCTAGTGAAATTGGTCGTTTATTTAACTTGCCTGATTCAAAAAGCTTTGAAAAGCGATCCAAACACATCCAGTTTGGATTTGTTTTTTTAGGAACATTCTCTTGTTTGAACAAGATATTTCCAAGTTTCATCCATCTTTCTGCTGATTTCAAGTACATTTAAAAGTAGTCATCCTCCTTAATCATTGTTCCACTTTGGGCAAAAATAGCTAGATCTCAGCATGATGCTACCAACACCGTGCTCAACATTTGCCTCACCTTGATTCCTCTAAACGCTTTTCTTGTCACAATAAAGTAAACTGGTGATCCCAATTCTTGTGTTTAGGCGCGGTTAAAAATAATAACAATAAATAAAATAATCATTGAAACATTGATTGATTTTCATTCTAGCTTGAACGATGAAGTTCAAGCCTTGAAGCGGCTTTATAAAGGCTCAGGATGATTTGAGCTTCATCCAAACAACTTCAGTTTAATTCAAACCTTAAGAGTCTATGAACTTTCAGGTTGTAAAACAGCACACAGCAAACCGACACTACAAATCACAGCACCATCGTCTTCTACATTCATTTGCATGTATTCATACCGACTATATTACAATTTACAGACTTGGACAAATAACTGAAATTTACAAAAGTTAAACAAGTATAAAACAATACTATTAAAAATGTTCGCATCTATAGAAACACTAAAAAGTGCACAGCTATTTATGCAAAACTTGATTAATTGGCACAATTTTATTTTTTTTTTAATAACAACAATGAGTTATAACTGTAATTTCGTAAACTATCTATGCCTGGGTTTTCACCCCGGAACTGGCTAAAGCCATAATTTTGTCTTCCGACCCTGAAAAAAAAAGGAAAGAAATTACAAGATGAGTGTTGGTAATTGTACAAACCGAACAATGAGTTAATAAAGATTTGCATAAAGTGTTTCTGCTCACCCAGGTTTGCAGTGACTTTTTCAAACTGACTCAGAGTCGCTGTTGCGTTTTCAGCCAGGAATGTGTCATCCTCTGGAGTGAGCTGTTGGGAGAAAAAAAACCTCTACAATGTCATAACCCTTTAAAAAAAATAAAAATAAGTCTGTCAACATCATGGCTGCCGCACGACTAAAATAAACTGCAGCGGGAATTTTGCATGGAAACATTAGCAGAAGCCACCGAATCAGACTGCGCGGCGCGGGGTTCGTCACCTTCTCTCCCAGCTTCCTCAGGGCTGTGAGGATTTCCATTTTCTGCTGCGTGTGCATGTCCCGAGACATTTTCCCCACCATCACGTCTCGGTCCATCTGCCCAGAATGTCACACAAAGGTCGGACAATTTTCAGGCAGAGCCATGGAAAAGAAAAAACAATGCAGTTGGCCAAATGTTAAATCAGTCAAAAGATTTAACGGCACAAATGATTCTAACAAAGCTCCATGAAGACTGACAGAGAAATGGGTTCATGACGATAAGACAGAGCAAGCAGGTTTTGACAGACTACATTCAAAAACGAATTTACGTCTTTTACAGCCTTTTTGACACCAACATCAATATAACGATACAGGGTTGGCCATGTAATCACGGATATGATCTGGGGTTTGGTTGTCTGATGTTCGGTGGAGCAATGGAGTCTATCAGCGCTTCAGCACTGGAGGACACAAAGCGGTGAGAGGGGCATTTATTGGTAAAACCAGGAGAGAACTGAGCAGCAAAAGAAATGTTTAGGAGGTTTAACAAATTGACAAAAAGGAACAAAACCACTTTGCTTCTGGGAGGGAAGACTGATGCCGCAGTCTAACCTTAAATGGGATTGACAAAACATTGTGACCATTTCTCAGATTGTGACTGATCGGTTTGAAAGTGTAACTCAAACCTCGGCGAGTCGGGTCCTCAGCTGTCCTGGCTGCTTCTTTGCAAAAAGTCGGATCACCTCGGGGGTTTTGAATGCTTGGCTGATGGCAGCTTGGATTGCCTGATGGAGATAAAGACTATAACAATGAGACAGTGGGACAAATGTAGAAATACATTTTCATTTTTATGAGACAATCTCAGAATTTAACCACAGGAACTTATAATTTTATGTGCCAACAACTTGGTAGCTAAAAGCGAATTATGCAACATCTGAGTCATTATTGTCAGATACTGCAGCTTCTCATAATTAGCAAACCGCTAAGTCGAAATATTGACTTCTAATACTATGATTTTATATTATAATCGTTAATCTCACTCTAACTAATTCATTTGATTATTCCGTCATGATTGATCTGTCAGTCTAACAAACTAGCCACTGACTCCCATAACAGCACTGCATTCGAATTACCAAGTAATAAAATCAATAAAATGTATTTTCTATTATATAACAGTGTTGATTATCAGTCATCCAGGACATATAAGTGCTTGAATAAAGGCAACTGGACTTTTTCCTCCTGTTTCATCTCTTATTCACAGGATTTCTTCAGTTCAGAATTGCATGGGTTTGGTTATTGTTTTCATTTAATTAAAATTAACATTTATTTTTAATACTTTAGAAAGCACTGTCATACCGCCAAGTTCAAACCTTTTCCAAGAGTAAATTGAGTTTTTGCGCAACAGCATCACTGATTTCACAGCATACATGCGAAGGCCAAATTCTAGACAAACATATATTAGATCTTTAATAACAGTAAAATAAGTTTCCCTGTGGATTTTCTTTTTGAAGCTTCAGGAGAAATGCCTTCATGTTAATCTTTACAACACAATGCGTTTTTCCAAGATATGAGTGAAACGACAGTAAGGACTTCTCAGACAGATTCTTACTTTGAGAGTGTTTAAATATTGTTTGTTTTTATGTGTCAAATGCCCATGAGATGAGATGCAATTTTTTCATCACGGGGTTGGAGTATTACTTCTACAAAGTAATAAGTACTTATGAATAAATGTCCCTACCAGCTGCATCCCACCAAGTTCATCCACCAGTGTCATGTCTCCTGTCATTATCTTCTTCAGTGAGTCGTTGAATTCTTCCAGCTGTTCCAGTGTCTCTTTCTTTGTCTCCTCATATTCCTCCTCGTCCAGGTCCTCTCTAGACAAAAAAACAAAAAACAAAGAAATGATAAGGGATTTATGGAAGATAAAAGTAAAGGCCGATGAGTTTACTGATTGATTTATAGTGCACCTGCATTCCTCCAGGTCCTGAAGCTGCTGCATCAGTCTGTCAAGCTGTTCCTCCATGTTCTGCTTCAGTTTGCTGGTTTCGGACTTACCCCGTGATGCCATTCTGTTAAAATCCTGTTTCCAAACTCTGGGTGACAGATTTAAGGAAGCAAATTAACAAGCAACAGATCAGAATGGCTGACATTGATCAGTAAGTCCCCAAACAGACGAAACTGGATGTTTGGTGAAGCTTGTATTCGCCGTGGTTACTGTCTTTGGTCACTATTCGTGATTATTTTCACACGATAAATTCGAAGGTTCAGATAAACATTGATATTAACAGCAAGCTAGCATGCTAAAGCACAGCATCTCACCGTGAATTTTCTTTGTAATAACCAGTTATAAACAAGTAGTAGGAACGAAGGACGTTTGCTTCAGGTTAACGGGGAAAAAACAAAGACTAACGAACAGAACCACCGCAAGAAAAGCATAGAAAAATTAGTATTTTAGTAAAAATACTCTTTACTGTTTGTCTAGAGTAGCATAAGTCTAGAGTATTTGTGACCATGAACGTAACTTCAGAACGTGGGTGCGGCTCTCGTAAATTCTGTCCAATCAGATTTCTCTATCTTTACGTAGCACCTCGACGTCCGCTACGTACAGGAAACAGCTGACATCCGCTAATAGAAGAGCGAAACAGAAACTGCTTTATTTTATTTTAGGTACGAAAACTTACTATTTCTTTTTGAACACTGACTTTTATTTTTTGTTTGTCTTCTGAAAAATAATTTAGGTTCCCTCCATGTTACTGACTTGTAGAGCTAACCATCTAAATCACAACGAGAAATTCAACTTTAACGAGAGCTAACATGTTAGCTCTCGTTTTAGCTCTGCTATTTTAGCCTCTTAGCATAACAAACCTTCAGTATTTTCTCTTGGTTTGTTTTTGTTTTTTGTTGTTTGTGCCTGGGTTTAAAGGGACTTCGTTTAATCACATTTTAGTAATGTCAGCTGCCGTGTTTGTTGCAGGGCAAATCCTGCAGCAGTATGAGTGATGGAGAATCCCAGTAGGTCCAAAGTGGTTCTGCTGGCCTGCGGCTCCTTCAACCCCATCACTAACATGCACCTCAGGATGTTTGAGCTGGCCAGAGATCACCTGGAAGACACAGGTTGAAGCCTTTTAAGACGACATCCTTTGTTTTAGTGTTAAGAGTTTTCTGTCAACTTCCCTGTGAAACTTTGTAAGCATAATCAAAAATGGATCTTAAAATGAACTTGGAGCCGTGAAGAAAGGGAGAACAATTGTGTTGTGCTTCTACCGTCTTCTGCCCGAGAGAACAATCCTGCAGCATCATCTTTAACTACATGAGAAGTAGAACAAATAATAAAAAATAACAACTCTGGAACATTATGATTTTCCTTATTTAAACACAGATCCTTTCCAAGCAGTCGTGCATTTTTTAAAAAGAAGGTACACCCTCGTAATGTTAAATGCATACAAAATGCCCACAATTGTAGCACTTAAAGGGAGGTCTACTTTCTTTTTACATGACTTACTATACAGCAGAAGACAAGGTTGTGGTTAAAGGATCCTAAAAATGCATTTATTGCTGTCTAGAGCTGAAGGCCTCCTTTAAGCATTAAAATCCTTAAGCAGTTCAGAGGTGTTCATTTTAAACTTTAAAAAGTGTTTTTGAAGAGTTGGAAACTGCATAAATTATTGTTTGTGTTTCTTCATTTTTCACAGTAATAAATAATGCACTTTTAAACTTGGTGCAAAGTGGAGGAAAGGACACCTCGTCTAATTGAGGCTAACCTGCAATTTTGGAACATTTCTTCATAACTCATTATTGTTTCATTTCTTAATCATCTCAAATCACACTCCCACTGTGATTGAAACACCGAAACCATATCTCCAAAACTATCATAATAGAGAAGGAAAAGTATTACAGCAAAGTTTTAAAGTGCATTAACTTTCCTTCAGAATGGGAAAAATATTTACAGTATACAACATTCACATATGTATTTACATATATATATAATGTTATACCAGCTTTACACTAGTGAAAGTAGAAAACATGTTTAAAAGGCAAAGATTGATTTGAAACTTTGTGTTTAAGGTCAGTACAGTGTGATTAAAGGAATCATCTCCCCGGTGGGCGATGCCTATAAGAAGAAGGGTTTGATTGAGGCCAGCCACCGGGTGGAGATGGCGAGACTGGCCACAGAAAGCTCAGAGTGGATCACAGTGGACTCCTGGGAGAGCCAGCAGTCAGACTGGGTGGAGACAGCTGAAGTTATCCGGTAAGTTTAAAGTTCACAAAACACTTTTCTCTTGGATTTTTTTTTTTATCCTCTGACTCCGCTTTAGCCATTTCACATCTACCTGTGATGACAGATAGTCTTTAAGCATCTTCACATTAGATGTTGTGACGCAGGTGACTATGACTTGATTTGAGACTTTGGTAAAGTCTTCCAAAGTTTTAATATTCTTTTTATTGTATTTGAGTTATTCAGACTTTAGACCTTTTTATTATTTCACACTTCCTGTTTAAGACTCTATGAAATGGGATTTATCACACAGTTTCGAAAATCAGTTTTGTTGCTTGAAAAAAAAAGGTAATTTCAAAATAAAGATTATGAGGAAAATGTGATATATTGAATTTATAAGTGCAAAATAAATAGGAATGTTGTAACAAAATGTATGTGGGGTAATTGATATCTTTAAGTAGGCTCAGAATTATGTTGCATGTAAACAGTTTCACATGTTACCTTCATTTCATTTGAACATTAAAGAAAGGTTTATGTGATTATTACGTGCTTCGTCCACTAGATGGCAACATCAACTCTGTGTGATATGGAGACATTCAGGGTAGGACCCTGGAAGTGCAGATATGTGAGCAGAGCTGCTGCAATAAAACTTCTTGAGCTAAAGCAAACTCATTATTTTCAAACATGAACTTACCAGTTAGGACAGAAGATTTGAATATATTTTCTAGATTTGTACAATACTCTCCCCTAATTATTTTTTTCTGTATTTTTGGATATTTTTATTAGCACATTTTGAAGCTGGAATGGTTGTTAACCATTTGGAGCAAAGAGACATGATCACCCGGGTATAGTTTGTCATTTTTACTTCTCAGAGATTCTGATTCTCTCCTTTGGTAAATATAAAGTAGGATAGAACCTCAGGGCTTTTTTCATTCAATCATTAAGCATTTCCTTCAATTTTAGCCTCAAAGCTGAACAAGATATTTAGAATTTGTGAAATTGCGACTGGGGAATATTTTTGCTCATAAAGTGTTTCTTGGCTCATAGATCAAAAAGACCAGCCTGTAACCTGCAAGGGGTTTTCATGGAATCATAACAGATGTAGATTTTTATCTTAAAACACATGGATTGAGGGATTTGAACAGCTGATTTTGACAATACAGCTGTTTTACCTTTATTCGTATAGGCATCACTATGAAGAGCTGCTCGCTAGAGAACATAACAGGGACAACGTGGACACCGTCAAGTATACGAAGAAGAGACGTATAGAGGAGAATTATATAGCGAGTTCAGTTCACCACAGGAAAAGAGGTAAGCTATGCATTTTTGTAAGGTTGTGTAAGTAAATAGATGTTGCGTTTTTGGAGTACTTGCTTATTTACAGTTTAGTGCATTCTGCTGAAGTGAAAGAATGCGGTTCTTTTAGGGTGTGGGGACTCTGTAGCATGGTCTGGACGACAGCCAGTCACAACCAGCAAAGTGAGTTGTCAGAGTGAAGCAGCGTGAGAATAGCCTCTGGGCAAAGAGGTGGTAATTGCAGATGCACTTGAAATTAGAGCAACATTGCGTCACACAAGAGCAAAACAATAGCTGGTCATGTGAAAGACGGTGTCACGAGTTTATCATTATCATTAATTAAACTTGAGCAACATTTAAAAAGCATTAAAGGTTGTAAACAGAAAAGGTTTTGTCCTTTGTCAGTAAAACTAAACCAAAACTAAACATCTTTCATTTACCTTTGTTTTATTTACTTTGTATTTGTATTTATATATTTTAAACATCAATAGAGGCAACTATTGATGTTATTACAAGGCAACACCTCCAAAGAAACAGGCAAGTTTCTAAAGTCAGCAATAAATCTGGTGTTAGAAACTGTGATAATCCCATTTCATAGAGTCTGAGACAGGAAGTGTTAAATTCTTGGCTAAAGAAGCTTTTATATAAGGTTTTTCTCCAGCTATGGAGAAGTATGCAAACCAAAATGTATACAAAGACTTTTGTTTTCCCAACTTTATTTCCTATCTTAATATCTACATGTTTTGCCTATCCATCCATTTGTTTAACAATCATCCATCTATCTAATGATTGATTTGCTTTTCATTCTTACTGAACTATTTTAAAAATGGTCCAGAAACAGACTGGAACTGTGGAAAATTCAGTCTTTGATTCTACAGAATCTTAGTTTTATTTCGAAGTTGTCTTCTCATAGATCTTTGAACAGGTGTTGTGAGACCCCATCTGAGCTCCTTCAGAGCTGAACTCCTTGTCCCTGTGCTCAGATGACCCTCAGCTGATGCTGCTGTGTGGTGCAGACGTCCTCGAATCCTTCGGAATCCCCAATCTGTGGAAGCAGGAGGACGTCGCTGAGATCGTGGGACGGTACGGTTTGGTTTGCATCACCCGCAGCGGCGGCGACCCACACAAGTTCATCAACCAGTCGGACGAGCTGTGGAAGTATCGCAAGAATATCCACGTCGTCCATGAATGGGTGGCGAACGATATCTCAGCGACTCACGTGCGCCGGGCGCTGCGTCGAGGCCGAAGCGTCAGATACCTGCTGCCCGACAGCGTCATCCACTACATTCAGGAACATGGCCTCTACAGCGCCGAGAGCGAGCAGAAAAACGCTGACGTGGTTCTGGCACCTTTTCAGAAATACTCTGATGCCTCTACAAGCGGATAGTTTACTGACATGTTTACGAAAAACAGAAACCGGTTTGCTGTGAATTTAAAACAAGTCGCACATTTTATTGATGCTCTCAATAGTGCCTGCTCCACCGATTGTAGAAATTGAATAATTATAGTTTCATTTTGCACCTGTCAAATAAAACATCTGAGCTAAAGTTCAACTACAAATAAACAGTTTTATACATTTGATATTTTGTACAAAAATTGATCAAATCATTTTTATAGAATAGAAATATACTTGAGAATACTTGAATGATTCTGATGCTGCTTTAACTCTGTTGTCTCATCATATATTTTCACTCAGAACTGGAATTTTCCATGCACTCTGCAATCCCCCTTAACCCTTTTAACAAGCCAAAGTCTCTCTTGAAACACTTTTTGTTGGACTAAGTGATTTGTGCCACATTAACAATAAACTGGTTTCTTTGATTTTCACCTTGGGAGTTCCCTTTTTATTCTTGTTATTCTAATGCGGCAGAGATAATCCCTAATTATTCGGGGTCCTAGTTATCATGTACTCCCTATTTTTCTCCTCTACTTTTGCATAAGGCAAAGGTATTTTGTTTGCATGCCACCATTTATGCACACGCTCATTAAAAGCCGTTTGCAGGAAAATTACATAAATGAAGAAAGGTGGAAAAAAAATCTCTGTTGAACACAAAAAACCCACACTAAACAACAATGGAACCTGAAAATGTACATTTGGAATTCAATAAACAATATTTTCATTTTTAAAGGGATCGGTTGTAGTTTTCAGGAGGTTTGTTGCAGAAGAGGATCAGAACTAAAGGCGAATCCCATAATGTTAAATTCTGGAACCTGAAAATGTAACATTACATTTTTGGGTCCACAAATAATAAACTCTACATTTGTATTTATTCTTGCAGAAAAAGCTAACAGATACAACACATCTAATATCTTGTATGAATACACATAACCTAATGATTAAAATAGACTTCCTTTTTTTTGTCATGAGTTATATTTACCTAAATTGGTTAAATTAGTCAGATTTTCTGACTTGAATCAGTTTGGATGTCCTTACAATTGTTAATGGGAATTTCATCCCATTCCATGGTGTTTATAGTTATTAGCACGGCTCCAATGTTGAACCTGGTGGATGTTCACAATTCTATACCGGACTTTGTTTAATTTTTCCATTATGTATGCCAATTCTTAAAGCAGGGTTTTGGAGGTGACGCGTTGTAATAACATCAATAGGTGTGCCTCTCTTTAGCTTACAAAGACCTGTCACCACCGTCTGGGCTTTCCCAAATGTTCAAAGACAAAACTCAGTGTGTGTAAAATGCTGAGAGTAATGAAAAGATTCTCTCATTTTTCTTTTGTTGGCCCTTTTTTCTTTCTTTTTTGCGACAACTAGGTGGTTTGTTTTCTTGAAAACTGAATTTCTTCCACACTTTGTGCTAGAGTGTATCTATTTGTCATTTTCAATTTGCTGCTGCACAGAAAAGTTTGCCATTTTGCTGTAGACCGTTGTGATTATGACATTGATAACAATGTCACCTAAATTGGTTTGAGGTCAGGAGAGATTTTCTCCAGTTTAAATTTAATTGTTAATAAAACATTAAATTAGTTGTTGCATTATATTGGAATAGGATATTTTACAGTATTTTCAATTGTACTAAAATTAATTTACAAACGTCTCGTATTTTTTTAGCTAAATATTGGTAGAGTTCACAGACAGCAAACAACGAGGTCTGTGGGTTTTTTTGTTTTTCTTTTATTTGTGTTTTAATTCCTGAGGCCGAGCTTAAAAAGTTGTCTGACAGTGAACCTGTCTGACAAGTCTTTTCTTTTCATTGCTATTGTAGTGACGAGAGTGCCTCCTGAATCCTCACATGATCTTAACTTCAACAGAAACAGGAGGGATGACACACCTACCTGTGTGTCACGGGGACTTTCTGAAAGCAGCACTTATTAAAGCTAATCTGCATTGGCTCACCAGTTCAGAGATCACAGTTTGCTCCCACTGAATCCCTGAAGAAGGAAGCTAAGAGAAACCAGCATGCCTACCAGTCTGTGTGGAACATGGGACATGATCAGCAATGTCAACTTCGATGGCTACATGAGTGCACTTGGTGAGTTTGAACTCAAAAATACTCCATAGAATGAAAGCTTTAAAAAAAAAAAAAAAGAAAAGAACAACTAGAAAATCTATTTGTGCTGTGAATACAAAATATACAAAGAAAAACTGAGGTGGGATTTTACACCAGGGTTATTATTGTATTCCTGAGACTGTGGGAAAAGAGTATGCAAAATACGATCCTTTACTATTCCAGGTATCAGTGTTCATTTGAGAAAGATTGCCCTGCGGCTGAAGCTGAGAAAGGTGATTGAGCAGCATGGAGACCAGTATATCGTCAAAACTCTCAGCACCTTCAGAAACTACGCCATCTCCTTCAAAATCGGTCAAGAGTTTGACGAGTTCACAAAGGGACTGGACAACAGGCACATCAAGGTGAGGACGGATGTTGTAAACGTACCACTCCCAGGTGTTTGTATGAGGCATGAAACGTGCTGACCTAATTTTTTGCTCCCATTCTGATTATTCTCTCTTGTTTTTTTTTTTCCTGTTTTCTTTCTGCGCAGTCAACAGTGACATGGCAGGGGAATAAAGTAATGTGTGAGCAGATTGGAGAGAAGAAGAACCGAGGCTGGGCTCACTGGGTTGAAGGCGACAAGCTCCATCTGGTACGAGATGAAATTACAAAGAAATTTCGACTTGTTCCAATTTCATATGTTTCACATTCAATAAACATTTCACATTTTCCACCTCAGGAACTCCACTGTGATGGAGAAGTCTGCAAGCAGGTGTTTAAGAAGAGTGCAAACAAGTAAAGAGGAAGGAGATGTTTAAGAAGAATTCGTTCAGTGCTGCAAGATGGCATGCGTCCCATCCACAACTGCTGACCCTGGAGAAAATAAAGCCACACCAGTCTAGAGACAGGCAGGGACTCTGGGGCTTTTTCAAACTTACGCCACTAGATAGCACCACTGCACCACTTTTACACTACATACTGAAGCTACATTCAAGCTTATAAGATGAAGCATCAGGATGTTTCGTAACTTGTTTCAGCTGGCTGAAAACAGATTAAAGGTGCTTTTGTTTTTTCTCTTGTTCAAAATTTCTCCTTGAGAGCTGTTCTGTTCAGTTTGCATTTATTGTTTCAATAGTGTATTTTCCATAGACATGTAAAATACACAAAAATGAGATCCATTTTTTTACGATTTGAATTTTGCTCAATAAATTTTGCTTAAATGAAAGCTGTAATTTGTAATATTTGTCCATCAAAAAAAGGTGAAACTATGAGGTGTAAATCTACTTTCTATGTGATTAAGACCAAAATTATTCAGACTTCTAGTGGATTGAGATTTGAAATGAACCCGAAATATAAAATATTGAGTCAGTGCATGCCACACTTTTCAGATATTTGATTTTAAAAACAGATCTCTCACTTTCCTCCAAATTCACAGATAAGCCATTGTGCTTAAAATGGCAATAAATACAATAAGGATTGTGGTTGAAGGTAGAACTTTTCTTTAAACAACTATAAAGAATACTTTTCAATTCCCTGTATAGCCATGAACAACTACAAATGTCTGTCTACATGACGTGAACAATCATAGTTTCAGACATTTTCTTTTTCTTTTCTTTCTTTTTTTTTTTTTTTTTTTTTTACGACAATGAGATAAGTTCAATTTGTTCAAAACATAACTGAGCTATTGTTGCTTTTTGGACTTCACGGTTTCAGCTGAGGCACTATGAATTAATAAACATAGAGTTCAAAATCAGACGAATAGAGGATACAAATGTGAAAATTATTTTATAACACAACACTACATGCCCATTTTAGCAGAAAAAAACTTACCATGTCTGGAGAAAACTGTTCGGTGAATACAGTGAAATAACATTGGATATGTGTTTGTTAAGTTTTCTATTACTTTTTAACCTTTGCTCATAATATGTCATAGGGCTGCTGAAAGAACAAGGTCAGAATTGTGACTTTAATCATTCTGATTTCAAATCAGTTTGAATTGAATTACTTAGCTTTCCTTTGGGACCAATAAAGCATTTTTGATATAATTTAAATCAAACAGGCAACTTTTGTAGGAAAAAAAGAGATTATTTTAATCTTAGATATTAAGCCTTTTTTTCCAGTTTTCCAAATCCTCTCTCGTGTAAATATCTTGGGTAAAAGTGTTTCATTTGAAAATCTGCGCGAAAGCTGTCCTTATATACAACAGCGTCTCATTATTGTTCATAACTCAAGGCGAAATCTACGTAAAAATAAAAATGAAATAAATAAATAACGGCGATGCAGACTGAATGTTGATAGAGGAACAATCCTGCCATAAAAAGAATGCACTCCGAACTACACAAATGATCAGTAGATTAATAGATTAAAATACATTAAAGTACGAGATCGCTCCTCCAGGTCGCCTCTGCCCAAAGTATATTTTCGATGCAGTGACGCAACACTCCTCCTGAGCTCTCTGAGATCACGTGACGTGGAGTAGAGCCAAAATGGCCGCTGTTGTATTTTGACGTATATAATAGCTAGCTACTTTTCTTTTTGTTTGACTCTCGGTAGAAAATCTACCAAACCACAGACGCTTTGAAAGATCCGCATCTCGCCATCTACCATATATCGGTGTCCTAGTTTTTACCTTGGCGACAATCAAGACTGACACCTATTCGTTGAACGTGTTAAACTATGCATATTCAGTTCTAATCGAGCTAGCGAGCTAGCTGGCTCTGGCTGGCACTCCGAAACAACTGAAAGTGAAATAGCTAGCTGGCTTAGCCGCCAGGATGGAGGAGTTGAGCGCAGACGAGGTAAGGTGACAATGGATGAATGCACTTAATATATTCGGAGCGAAGCTTCACTGCATGGTTGTTGTTGTTTTCAGCCCTAACATTTCATCTCGCAAGTTTTTAGGAGTTGTAGAGCGAGCCTGGTAGCTACAAAAGGTAACAGAGGGCTTAGCTTAACGTCATAGGAAGGAATCACTCGCTCAGTTGATTGATTCCACGGTTCTCTAATTTGAAAGACAGCTATGTCTGAGTTGAACAATTCTGCTCATAATTTTTTAAAATTAAGCAAATCCTTAATAGAAATATCATGTAGAAGAAATCAATGGAGAGTCGTGTAACTGCCTGTGTCGTGTCATTTAGCAGGGGCACAGTGCTAACTGGTTGATGTTAGCTCAGAAGCTGTGCTTAACGATGTTTTTTTTACTATTTATTTTTTTTATCATAAACACAGCGAAAGACTTCCTTATCCTGCTGGCCGTTTTCACTTCTGACATGGATACTTTTTTAGTCTTAAGTTTGTGTTATTCCACGTCTTCCAACGGTAACATTTCTTGTTGCTGCTAGCGTTGACTTGCTAACAGTGTTTGCGAAACGACTCAGCAGAAAAGGGGCAAACAAACATAAAAACAGTGGACCACCATGGTCGAGTTGACCCAGCTGCTCCCCTGAGACCTCAGACAAAACATACCCTGCTTTTTCTAACCTCAGTTTACAATACAGAAGAGATACTGTCATCCTCTTAGCTCCAAGGTCTGACTCCGTTTACAATGTTGCGCATTTTAACAGTTTTTAGGCTTAAACAAATTATACAGAATTACATTGATTGTAAATATGTTAAAAATATAGTAATGGTTTCATTTCAGTACAACACAACCAGTCTCAGTTTGCACAGTGTGGATGTCTGAAAAATGTAGGTTTCCTACATACATTTTCATCTGGTGATTTCTTAAGTTTTGGTAAATTTGAAAAAAGGAAAACAATTAGAATGTTTGGTGTTTTTACACCTTCCAGTAAGATAAAAACAAGATTAATGTAAAATAAAATAAAAAAACTACTGAATTGTCCGTTTTAAAACTTCTGTAGGAACTGGTGCATGTTAAATGCAAATATCTGCCAAAATGGTTTGGTTAAGGTGTCCTGCAGAACTTTAGGTTTTGTCATCCTGATTTTCCTTATTGCCTAACCTTTACCTTATAGTACCCATCCGTCAAGAGGTTTGAAGATAAAAACTTGATTATTGTCATTAAAGATTATTGCAAATGGCAAGGGCATTGCTCAATTGCCCCACAACCTTGGGCATTTTGCCTATCTTATTATTCCTCCCTTTACAACCACTTGATAAAATAAAACCTTATCTCTTCAACTTCACATAGGCATGCCTTACAATAATCACAAATAGGGAGTAATAGCATGTAATTAATTAGAAACTGCCTGAAAACATTTCAGCTGGCTGGATATTTGTGTATATGTGTTTCACTTTCTCTGAATTCATCATTTTCATTTTTGATTAAAGATTCGCAGAAGGCGGTTGGCACGGCTGGCAGGAGGACAGACATCACAACCCAGCACCCCCCTAAGTACTCCTCTCACATCCCCACAGAGAGAGACTCCACCTGGACCCCTCCCTGGCCCCTCAGGTGTCTCACCCCAACCTGTACCACCAGCTGCCTCTCAATCATTGGGTCTCAATGTCCACAGTGGTACCCCTGCCACATCCCCTATGGGCACCTCTGGTAAGTAATCAAAGTTTATTGGTTATGGCTGAACTCTGGCATTTTATTCTGATGATTTTAACTGCCAGAAGTGCTTTGGGTTAAACATTATCATCTTAACAGTTACATGTGTAGCTCCATATTTTGTGAACTTTTGCTCAATCCTGTACTTATCTGTAATTAGCCTGGGCGATATATTTTCTGTAAGCCACACATGATAAAAACTTGTTGCCTGAGCAAAATTTCCGTAAGGAATCTTAATTATTGCAGCCTTTATATATTTTAGGAATAAATATGAAAAAATCGAATAACAATGGGCTTGCTGTGATCACTTTATATGAGACATAAAGTGTAGACAAAGTAGGGCAGAGGGGAAATTTAGGCTTTTCTCCATGATCTGCACTACTATTGTTTATATGGATACATACATTTTCTGACATTTTCTGGGTAGACATTGGTTGTGCTTTCTGCTACCTAAACCTACTTAAAGGTGCCAATAACACCTCTTTATACATATTTCATTTTTACTTTTTTGCTTGGCTATTGGATAAGATTCCAAGGGATGTAGCTTAAATGTTTAAATAAATATTTTCAATATAATTCCAGCCTCTGAGCAACCATTACATTTCTTTAGGGTAATTTTGACCCATAATCATGTTGCTCACAGAGCAAATCTTAAAAGCAAAAGTAGTAAACATTTGTGGTACTTGTGGTTTCAGAGTTGGTTAACTCTGGTAGCTACTTTGCTCTTCATACCCTTATACTTTTAGTCTTCCCCAACTGATCAAGGACCAAATACTTTTGTCTTTCTTTGCTTCTTAGGCTTATGGCTTTTAAAAAATCTTCAGGTTACTGACACACATTTTGTTTTGCCTCAGATGTTTAAATTTACAACTAGGCCCAAAATTATTCATGCCCCTGGAAGATTCATGTAATCTGTAAAATGTTGTTTATGTTTTTGTTTTGATTGAAAAAAATGTGCATTTCATGTTGGCCCAGCCAAGGGTCCAACCTCAGTCTGAAAAAGAGTCTGTGGGGAGAGCTGAGGATTAGGGAAACAGCAATGAGGCATTCCGACCTCAAAGACTTGGAGTTCAACACCAAAGAATACATTGTCAAAATACCACTGGAAACCTGCAATTATAAAAAGGAATTCAGTGGAAACAAAGATTTTTTTGATTATTATAATAATAATTTTTGACACCCCCTTTGCTTTTTCTCGATAAAATATAAATAAAGCTTAATTACTGTTGTCAAAACTAGTGCTCCTTCTACGATGTTCATTATCTTTTGAGAGACGCCAGTCTAATTTTCAGAAGTAAACTCATTGGCTGAACTCTGATTTTTAAAATAAAATATGGCAGATATATTAATAATTTTGGGCTTTTTTTTGACTAATGTTCCTGCAGGGGTGGCATATGGCAGTCAGAGCAGCGAAGGCGTAAGCTCCCTCTCTAGCTCCCCCTCCAACAGCCTTGAGACACAGTCTCAGAGTTTGTCTCGATCGCAGAGCATGGACATTGACCCTGCCTCCTGTGAAAAGAGGTAAAGTTTTTTTTTTTTTTATTATTATTGACTTTTGCTACAGTATTCCCGTAAGATACTGATATAAAAAGTAGCTGTAAAAATGTTTTATTAATCATCTGGAAAAGAAATGAGAATGTTGGGATAAACTAATTGGCTCAAAATGTTTGTATGACATTCACA